AATCCTTTAGATAAGCAAGATCTATCTTATACGCACGCACGCACGAACACACATATATACATACGCAAAAACCACTTGAATTTAGTTTGTCGTTTTAATCAAATTTTCTTTACATTTCACTTCCCTGTTAGCTTGATGGGAGGTGTAAAACATATATATATATATATATATATATATATATATATATATACGTGTTAAAGTGTATATATATATATATATTTTAAGGTTAAGATATGAACCAAAAGGGGGTTTGTAAGAGTTAGACGATCTAGCTGTTTGAAATCAAGGAGGATAGTTGACGGTTAAATGGTTCAGCTTAGTTTTCAGGTAAAGATCTTTTTACCAGTATTGTACACTGATGCCCCAGCTGTGTGGGTCGTCTTTCATTCATCGATATCGTCACAATTACTTCCGGTGCCACTGGCTGATAGACACCACAAAAAATGTGGGCAAAACAATGTATGATAGTTGAATTAAATGGGATCAACCGTGGGTTGGTGAAGCGGTAGTACCACTATTGGCTGTGTCATATACGTCAAAGCACGTAAAGTCACTACATTCAATGAAAAGTTCAATAGATGGCATGTAAAGCTGTTGAGACTACTACTATCATATCATAATCTTATGCATAGATATCAAGGTATACAAAGATGTCTTCTGTGGTATAATAGATAGAATTAGCATTCAAGCAGACCTGCAGATTGTGTGTCTGTAATCCAGTTTATTACTGTCTTTATCAGCGGATAGATCAGCCGCGGAAAAGGAGTAACGAGAACACAGGAATAACGTATACAGTATATAATATCGTAATAAGCTATAATATCGTCTGCATTTAATTGACTGATAAACGGCAGTATGTTACTAATCTTATAGAAATCAGAAGTTCGCCTCCAATTCGCCATAATACGTAAGGCCTTCATGAAAGCAAAACGTAGGGAGTTTTAAAGTTGAATAGGTAAGTTTGTCACGTCCCTGAGATGTATTAAGACGTTATGATGAATGCGGGAGGCTTCCTCAAGCCCTTCCTACAAACAAGATGCGCGGACCTAAAAGCAGATGTGCGCAAAATGTCGCCATGTATAATCCTCGGCGAACGACAACGTCTAGATGTTGCGAGAAGTTTGAATGTTGCATCCACATAACCGCTCGCTGACCTAATAACGGAAATCGTCCATGTCTAGACAACTGGCTTGAAGGAGAGCCAAGTCATTTAGCTGGAAGCCGCGCAACGCAGGAAAGATGCTAATTTTTTACAAGCATTTTTATTATATTATTAAAAAGGTTTCAAAATGCATTGCATAACAACGCAAAACTCGATTGAAAATAGAGAAAAAAGTATTATTTATGTAAAAGGCCATAAATGTTACTGTTATACTTTTTTTTTTAATATTTATCTTTATTTAATCAAATCAGTTGTTTCAGATGTTGATGAGGTGCTTGAACTGGTTTTGAAACTGAGCTTTTGGCTGTTTCAGCCAAAGGTTCAGTTTAAAGCCATATCACAGATAAGCTATTGTACCGCATGTAGAATTTATCTAACTGTGTAGTCTTATTAGTAAACAGGTCATTAATTTTTCAGAGCGCTTACTGTGAACCATACGTTGACATCGTCAGCCAGGAGCTCGATCAGTTGGGCATCGATTTGTGGAAGGACTCGTAAAAATTGGAAAGAAAGCCGCGTTCTTTTATCAACCAATACAGAATATGCATTGAAAAACTAAATTCGTTGCCTGTAGATGTATCCATAATATAATAACAATGCACGTTTACATTTGAATCGGTGCGAAGTAAAAGTAGTTGACGATAGACCGATTACTCGGTAACTTGAAATATGTGGAACGGCGATAGACCACACAGCTTCTCTGCTTAGTTTGAGCCGTACTGAAAACAGTGCCAGGCATAGTAGGATGATTCTTAGTGCAGAAAGTGTTGTCTGTCATCTCTGAATTTTTGAACGTTATTCACAAAATTATTCCAAAACAACAGTAGATGTAAAGTCTCTACGGACTTATAGAAATTAAAGTGTCCAACACTTCTTACCACAGTTACATTAAATATATATTTAAGTCAACGTTTGAAAATCCTGTCACAGCTGGGCCAGACAACGAGTAAACATTATTTGTAATAAAATACGACTAACTGTTTACAAGAAGGTATCACATATATATATATATATATATATATATATATATATATATATATATATATGGGGCGACGGTGCGTATCGTTTAATGAGATTTTTCATTCAATCAAGATTAAGCCTAAACTTATTTTTTTTATCAGATTACTCCATACTTTACGATTCTATCTGCCGTTGTAGCCAAAATATGTACACTCACAGTTGCATTGCTTTCCAACCCAAAGTGGAAACATATTACAGGCTGCCTCTATGCAGATGAATCAAATAAACTCTTACCGGATGGCGCCTCTGATTTTATCCTTTTTAACCAAGACATCTTCGGCTGTAAGTCCCGGCACACATTTCATTTCAGCGGGATCCCGCAAACTCGAAAGGGTACTTGGTACCTTCATTGTTTTAGTTTCGCTGAAACGTTTCCACTTCTTTGATACCAGCTACCACACTTCCAGCCAGAGTCTTTTGTTAATGAAACGGCATGGATTAGGGGAGTATGTCGAATTTCAGTGTGCGCGACCAGACTCAATTATTTCAGGCTATAACAAATGACGTGACTAGACACTCACTGTTACAAATCCGTTGTAGACGGGGCGCTACTGATAGACGATAGAGAAACGCAGGGTTTTAGCTGGTTTACTGCGGCTGTGAGAAGAGCATGCCTACACCGCGCCCCTCTCTTGTTGTTGTCATAAAGCCTTCCCCTAGGGTGAGGACAGGGATGAGGAGGGCATTTGTAAGAGGATTTGAAAAACCATGCGGATGGGTACGTGCAGCCGCAATGACAGCTAAAACCGAACTGATTAGCCGTTTATACTGGAAAAAAAAATTGTTAAAATTTTTCTTGAAACATCTGTAAATCCAGACAAAGGGCGGAAATGAGTCTAATACGCTTGTCAATGAAGATATATGAAGATGGAGATTAAATGTAAATGTGACTTTCCAATACGTTCTCTTAAAAGTGCGTCTAAATAAATATCTCAGCCTTTTTTTAACGTTTTCGGGATTCCAGCATTGTCTTTAAGCATTACTTCACAGTGATGGCCCCTCCCAGCATGAAATGTTCGGTCTTCAGCAGAGAAATGCGTTACCCACCACGCGATCACGGAGAAGCATCTAAACTGTTTTTATTTCGCTAGGGAACTGCCTAGCTATATTTTGGCTTTATGAAAATATACGCGTTCAATCATCGAGATCCTTTTCAACCATGTGACAAACCTGGGTTAGTCTTTGTAAAAGTCATCGATAATTGTGACTTTGGATTGGTTTCGCACCTTGCGTGTTTCCTCTAGTGAAATTTGCTAGGAGAGCACCGACTAATTCCAAAAAACCAATTTGGAGTTAGACACATTTACTTCACCCGAGTTGCATAAAAAGAAAAATATTTTCCCCGTCTGAGAAACACCTTCGTGTGAGCAATAATGGCTGTTATGTAACACGCGAACAGAGGATTTTTTTTACCAGGTAGTCCAACTTAAATGGGGTGATTGTCTTTTTCTGATTCTCTGTCGGATTAGTTGGAAGGGTGCATTGCAGATTTGGTTAAAAGTAAAGAAATATGTGTAAAAAAAAATCGATTCTAGTGAATAGATTTATATTTTGCATAGGCCCTTAAGCGAGATCTTCTATGCTAAAACGGGTAGCCTATGTCAAAGTATACCCTTCGCACTTTTAAGGCGTTTATGGATGTTTTTCTTAGTTTGAAGGTAAGAAAAAATAGTTCGATGATATTTTTTACAAGAGTAATAGTTATTCTTTAATTCGTCTCTTTAAAGAAATTTATTTTATTTAAAAACGTTTTATTATTAACAATTATTATTATAATATATATCCACTACGTACGACATCACAATATATATTATAGATCCTTTATTGAAGGATACGAATTGTTCCTAAAACGTTTACGATAGAACGATAAGTGAATGCAGATTAGCAATAACAGCTAGTGAAAAACGCTAAGACACGGTTTGATACTTCATGGCAAAGTTAGTGTTTAAATACTAAATGCTTTATATTTTAAGTTACTCAGTTAAAAATTATAGGACTGCAAAGTAATTTGTCATTTTGATCTTTTTAAAATGGCTTTTCTCAAAAACTACCCATTATGAAATGAGTACCTTAAAATATCTGCGCCTAAAAGTTTGCACTTTCGATTGCAAAAGCAAACAGTATAAAAAGTGTATTAAAATGTTCGTTCAGGTTGTCAGTTGGGCCTGTTTTATTTACTTCTTTTTTGTGCGTATGCCAGTTATAGCGGCCTTTCAGACCTTTCTCCAATATATTTACATATATTTAAATATCTTCGAAAACTGCTCCAAATTTTCCAGAAAAAGAAATCCTGCTGTTTCTAATTGTTTCCTCGTACGCGCAAGCAGCAAGATCCGCACAGTAAGCCTGATTGATCGCTGTGCCGTTCGTTACCGTTAGCTTGATATAAAATAGTACTCAGGCCAGTGAGTATATATAAGTATACTCAATCAGCGTATTTCTACGGCGCCTCTATTTTTCAAATGAGTTACATACATAAGGCTTAAAGCTTGACCGACTATTATTGCAAGGTATTTCAGTCGTCCTTCTGAAATTCAGGTGATCCGATCCTCTTCGCACCACCCTTAGTTTCGAAAAACCACGGTAAGTGACAATGATTTAATAGAAACCAAAATCTTACTAATAGCCTACAACAAGCTATATAATAAAAAAAAAAACCTGACAAAAATCGTGATGAATAAGTTTCATTTTTGGATAATTTACATTAAAAGGAAAGGTCGTTTTCTGCATTGTATGGGGTAATTCTTGTTAATTAAATGTTGATAACCAAAAAACACCACCCAATCAGAGCAAAGGGTGAGGCAAAAAGCTCTTGCGGACCTTAAAAGCCACTGGACACTCGTAAGTCTCCATTGAATAAATTTTCTAAACATCCGCTTTTTATTACAATCATACGTATATGTACTGCTACTTTAACAGAGGTAAAGCGAAGATGCTACAACTGCCGAATCACTTTTGTAGCTCCCTGTATATATAACGTTCGGTCTACCGCCGGATCCAGTATTAGAAGTAGAATATTATTAGAAGGTCTTCTTTCCCAGCTACTTATGATTAATCATTTCATACCGTCACGCAGATGACAGACTGTACAAAGACAGACGACTACAGCTTGGTGTTAACAATACCAAAAGATAGGTAATTATTGGTCCAGTATTTTCCCACGTAGTATGCGTTAAAATGTTTAATTTAAATTATAATATGGAACGACTTTACTGTTTTCTTAGTGGGTAGATTTTCGCTTAACCCTTTTTTGTGTGCTTTTTTTTTGAAAATGGCTAGATCGCGTCAGCTCTGAGCATAAGCCCTCACTCCGAAACGATATCCTAAATGGGTAAACTGGATGATCGGCCCGAGTAGTTAGGCTTTCACATAAAAACTGTACTGCACAGTGAGCGTGATACGTCGCTGGCCACCGCTTGCAGCTGACAACGTGTTTATTTTTCAAGCTTAGTGGACGCCACGGTTCCATCCCCTAATCAAGCGAACTCCTAACAAGTGACACCGATAAGCTGTAGATAAAAATCGATCAAAATGTAGTTCAATTAGGAACTTCATCCTGATACGCTGAAATTAGCGCCACTAATATTTCCCAACGACTTCGACAAGCAGAAAGAAATTTATGACGTATCAAAAAGCTCATAAGAGTTTGACATTGGAAACCGCAGGACAGTCGTTCCTACCGCGCGCTAAAAAACACCCAAGGGGAGCCATATAAACACGCGGTGATGAATGGAACGTTTCGAAGATTGCCTAGTATTATGTAAGGATAGATCAGAATACAAACATTTTAATACCGCAAATTTAGGGATAAGTTGATAAATTTTGGTCGATTTGATCGCTTGTAATCAGGTAAAGAAGCACTTTTTTAATTTGGAATTAATTAATTAAAAATGCTGCTTTTATCATAGTGCGTAATCTAAAAGTATCCGCTCAAAATATAACCCATCATTTATAGATTTGGTTCGCTTTTCAGTTTAGACATCACAATTCGGAGTAACTATTACAGACATGTTTGATATCGGCGAAGAAAGAAGACTGATGACTTCGAGGGCATTGAATATACACAATCAGTGGAAGTAATTCGAATTAACAGACTTGCAGAAATATTAAACAAAAAGTGGAGCTGAGACTCTTTATTTGTAATGATAAAGAATATATAACGGATTATCGTATCAATGAAAAGATCAAACAAAGCTCATTTTTTCCAAGTAAATCAAACGATATTCAGCTTTTTTTACGAACACGCACAACATCATCAGTGAGCTAAGTCTTTTGGTGCCATATTTTGAACCCTATCGGAAGACCTTGTCTCGTCTTGAAAATATTCAATATATTCAATGCGTGTATCATTCTTTGTTAATCAGTACACACCATAAATTTTGTTTACCGGTTGAACACTTGTTATGAGATCACCCCATACGCTACCTAAAACTTTACTACTTCTCGAATCATGCTAAGATGCTCCGTTGTGTCGAAAAACCTTATGAACCTCTACAATTGAAGCTCTGGGGCTCTCTGCCCCCCGATCAATTGATGTTCTGTGAGTCGGACGTTACTGCATCCGCCATTAATGCCTCCATGTGTTTTGTAGACTGCTATTTTTGGCGGCCGGCGCCCACTGTTGTTTGCTCACCAAGGCGCGCCAGTTTTGAAACTCATTTCGAAGCTGTTAATCTCGAGCTTATGGTTTTCACCTTAAACTACTTAGAAAAGATTCCGACGCTTACAAGGTTCAAAGAACACCTGCATAAAGAAACATGGCCTGATGGTTCCGCCTGCGTCGATCTCCAGCGCAACCTTCCAGATACAAGAGCCGCTAGAGCTATATAAAATGACCACTGTAGTTCTGCAAGCTCTATTTTAATATAAATAAAAAAAAGATTTAATTTCTTATAGAAAGCGAGTCTTTGATGTGATTTTGATATGCCCTTGCCTTTACTATTGCATTTCAGAAAATAAGGTTAGCGTTTTTTACAATATCAAAGCGCGTGAACGTGTCTTGAATTAGGTCCCGTCAAGTCCTGAATGATTTCCTTCGGAAAAAGCTATCATTAGGAACATCGTCGTATTAAATGGCCAGTTCTGCCCCAAACAATTTTACTCATTCAATCGGATCAAAATCTGTCTCGAGAAATAAAGCGTACGAAAAAGTGAGACGCATCTGGATTAGGAAGTTAATACGATCAAACAGTGGTACAGGAACTAATTTGGAGAACCCCTTATATGCTAACCACCAAAGTTTTATCCATGCTTTCACGGCAGGGATACCATAACACATTCTATACGAGGGATACGATTAAATAAAGAAGCATTAAAATCGTCGCCACAGTAACTTTTTCAACTATTTTTTTCCATTTCTGAAAAATCCTCTGAGTTACTTTTTCGGTACAATATCAAAAACTTGCGTCACCAGAAGGGGTGTAGCGAGGTTGGATTTTATTGGGTATTTTTGAAGTTTCTCTAACAAACATATAAAATAGTATGGTAATTACACCAGATGAAGGTAGGTGGAGGGTAAGAAAAGATTAGGAACAAAAAACGCATTTAAGTAGGGCCGAG